AATAATATTTGAATATTATTTGATTTGATTTGATTTGATTTGATCAAATCAAATTCAAATTAAGGATTTATTTGATTCAATTAATATTTAATTTGATTTGATTTAACTTTGAGGAACCTTATTGCAGAATGTTAGGTTTAAATATTGAAACACGTAATGTCTTTTATTCACCAATAAAAATGATTTCAATAAAGGTCACTGACAAGACAGCCAAAGTAGAAAAATAGTTATTTGTGAAATTTGCTTTTAAAATAATTTATACAAAACCTTATATATACAATACTATTTATATACAATATCTTTGTATATAATACCTCTATATAGTGTATTCTCTCTAAAATAGTATCTAGTTTTTAATACAATATTTCTAGATACTATTCAATTTAAAAAATATTATTTTTGAATAAAACTTTAGATACTTTATATAGTGCTTGTCACAGCTGATATTAAATTTTGCCGATATTGAATATTACGTGAAAATTCAGGCCAGAAATTGCAGATTGCATATCGATCAGGAAAAAATCTAAACAAATCCTAACCAATAACAAAGTTCTTCAAGTTTGTTTGTATAAAGGTTATCATTTATATTAACATTAGAGCTTAAAAGATTATATAATAAAATCTCTCAAAGAAAACTTTTTGTTAATATAAAAAATGTTGTTTTTTATAAATATTTGTAAAAAATTATTGATTTTTAACAAAGAGATGTTTGTTTTAAAATTTTATGATCAACATACAATTTGCAATTTCTGGCCCGAATTTTTATGTGATATTTAGCATCAGCCAAATTTAGCATTAGCTGTGACAGTGCTTTATAGTACTAATTAGATAAACTAAGAGTAAAAACTAATATATTTAGTATATATGTAATTTTTATAAACAAAATACAGGCTTATAATTGTAGTTATTAAAATAAACAAAATTTTTTTTTCTTTCTTATTATTCTTTTACTTTTTTATTTTTTTGTTTTTATGTTTTATTATAATTTTTTATAACTTTGTATTTTGTTTTAAATATTTTCTATATTTTTTTTTATATTTTGTATCTTGATAAAAGAATAGCTATCAGCCAAATAACAAAGGAAAAAATTTTTAATAAATTAAGAACCCTAAGTAAGGCCAAGTGCTACTAAAGCAGGTTATATTTGGTAAATTGCAGATATATGCCTGGTATAATGCAATGAGTCTTTTGTTTTATAAAAATTGATATATAATTATAAATAAAAATTTGTTTTGTCAAATTTTTGAATAGTTAGAATTTGAATAAACAAGAGCAAGATTGCTAAATTACAAAGAAAAAATTTTTTTTCAAATTCAACTTAATTAATTAATCAATTAATTAATTAATCAATTAGTTTTTTTTCTTTAAAATATTAATGGAATTAATCAATTAGTTTTTAATTAATTAGTTGATAATTGATTAGTTAATTAATTGATTAGTTAATTAATTAATTAGTTGATTAATTGATTAATTAATTAATTGATTAATCAATTAATCAACTAATCAATTAATCAACTATACAGTATGGTTATTTAATATTAACTAATTGGCTAGTTTTTGATTGCAAAAAAAAATTTATCATTATTAAACAGAAAATTTATTATATAATAAATTAATGCAGGTAATTTATAGCTTATAATATTTTATAAATTTGAAACAAATAAAATAATCACCAACTGAATTGCTAAATTTCTACATTAGTATCTTATTGATTCCAACACTATAACTTAGTAATTCGATTATCAAATTTTCACCAGAACAGTAGAGAGGCCACCACAATTGAATCCAATATAAATAATTTAATTAGTCAATAAATTGACTAATCGATTAATCAACTAATTGATTAATCGATTAGTTGGAAAAAGTTAAATAATCGATAATCTATCAGCTATACCCTTAAGTTTCATTGATTCTGATTTGACTTAGAGCCGGGGTAGCGATACATCGCTATAGCGATAAATTATAAAGCCCTAAATTAAATTTATATTTTTGTATATATCACAGGTTAATATGATCGACCAATTAGATCACAGAATCTCGTGTAACAAAAATGAACGCACTTAATTTGCTAATACTAGCTCGAACCCTAGCCATAACTAAATTTTTTTTAAAATATATATTAACCTGCGATATCAACCTGCAAATTTAACAAAAATCTTTTTTTTAATAAAATATTTTAATTTTACTATATAAAAATTTGTTTATATTTTTTATTTACTATTTGTTGAGTGTTAGAATCGAAATGTGGATGATAAATCCAGCACACACCTTGGGGCGCAGCACCAAGAGGCGTAGCTGGATTTAATGTCCACAGAGAACCCAGTACCAGCTGGGCGATGCCCAATGTTACCTATAGGGAATATTTCCAACACCAACAACTGGAACACCAAACATTTTTGCATAATTCGTTAATTCTTGATTTTCTGTCACAAATAATATATCATCGATGTTCGCTAAATGTGCAAAATAAAGCCAACAACTTAATATAGGACGAAATTCTTGCGGAATATCAGTTATAGGTTTTTCATCCGTGATGTCATTATCATGTAATTCCTTAGCTATTTTTTCATTTTGGCAAACATGTGAAGTGTTATGTCGGAAACTTTCTTCGACAAGAAACTCTCCAGCACATGTCCAATGGGGTAATTTTTCATTCTCCTTCTGTGCACGGATAAAATGTTCATGGTTCCGCTGGCTACCTATTTGATCCAAAAATCTAATTGCTTCTCGTGCTCGCACATTTTCTTGATTATTACCCTTTTTGATCAAATCTAAGGAATCAATAACTTTAAAAGATCGATCAATTAAGGTTGGCAATTTTATAACAATTAAAATATCTCATTAAGTATAAATAAATAAATAATTCACACCATCTAAAGGTACAATCACTGTGCACTTTTCATCCGCAACCCAGTTTTTAACCGAATTCAAATGGTTAAGAATAACGCTGATATCAACAACACATTGTTTTTGCGAAATTTTAGGCTTTGATATAGCGCTTTCGGGAAGAGGAAGATGGTTGGGACGAGAAGAAACTCCGAACTTTTGCAGCTTGTTTTCCATTGTGTCAATTTCGTCTTTTAAACGTTGTTGTGCCATTAATTTCATCATACGTTGTTGACGCTCTTTTTTCTGTTATTCAAATTATATTAATCAATGTTATGCCAAAAATGGAAAAAATGGTTTAATGAATGCTTACCTTACTTTCTTCATCAATTAGCGTAAATTGTCCCGCAGAGTCGTCATAATGAAGAATATCAAAAGACTAAATATAATTGAAATTTTAGTAAGTCGATCGCACAAATGATTAGGAAAAAAAAATCTAACCTTGACTAATTTTTTTCCAAACATAATTAACCTAGCAATCATCACACACAAGGGGTTAACATTGTTTGTGAAATTTAGATTCCGTTGAAAAGGGCGGAAAGGTATCACCCCTAAAAATTCCATATCCTCAAGAATGGAATGTTTTGCCAATTCTGCAGGGTCATAATCCGCGCCCAATAAATCACAAATCTTTGAGTTATTGAGAATACTGACAAATGATTTGAAAAAATTTCTCATATTCTAATTAAGAAAATAATGAGTTATAAGTGTGTAAATAAGATCAGGGCTTAATATAATTTCCCCCTACCGTTAAAAATATTCCTGCTATCCTTTCATTTTCTTTCTCAATAGATTTCGAATAGCTATACAACTGACTTAAAAGATCCATTAATGTTCCCATATATTGGCACCATATAGAAACAGCGGGCAAACATTCTAATACAGCTGAATTTGACCCATTCCCAGAATCCCATGCCAGATTTATGTTTTCTACAATAGGAACCAAAAATCCAAAACCTAACCCTATAGTCATGGATTCTATATTTCGAAGCTCAGTGGCTCGATTTGGAGCTTATAAATATAGGTTTGAATAATAATTAGGAATTTAAAGAAAATAATGTGCAGAATCATTCATCATACCTGTCCAATTTCGCAAATCCCAAACCGTAAAGATAAGAATAAATATAATCTTTTTCAGTAATGAACTCAGACTTTGAAGACTATCGTTTTGGGAAGACAATAAATGGACAAATTGGATCATTATTTCCTCGGGAATAATGCTATATTGTATTAAGAATGAAATTATTCATTTATATCCAAACAGTTGTAATACAAGATTTCATATTTTTAAGGTAATTTCATACTTTTCAACGTCCTTCTCAAAAAGATAACGATGAGTAGTTAAAAATTTTCTCTCAAAATCTCTAATACTAGATCTAGATAAACATCGTCATTAAATTATAATCTGTTATGAATATCATGAATAAAATCTAAGAACTTACGAGACATTCGTATTCAAGTTACTTTGCCGGATTCGTTGAGAAAATTTTGTATAAAATACTTTTAAATTATCAGCAGATATGCCTGGTGGCTGCTTGGTTGCAAGACTAAAAAATGCCATCATTAAATTAATCGGTAAAACGCGCGAATTATTTGAGTAATTATAAGTAGATTATAATTACAACAGCATACCTGAAACAATACCAATAGACAACATCCAAATCATTATCTCGAAGCATAGAAAGAAGAGCCAATTGAGCTTGGGCTTTTCCTAATGCGTGATAATTCAGTTAAAAATATATATATATATATTTTTTCGTTAGTATCTCATGAGACATTACATACCATCTTCACAGTAGACTCTTGCGGCTTTCATGTAAAATTGTTTAGAGAATTCCCAACGTCTCATATCAGACCCAAATAGAGTCTCGCGATATCGAGCAAAATCACCAAGACGAATGAGACATCGTTGAATAGATTCAGCAGTGAGCTCTTTTCTGCGTAATTTGGAAGCGGAACGTGGAGCAGGAGGTGAAGTGGTGACAGTATTCTTAAAAATTTCTGAATAATGCAAATATGACCAAAATGAATAACATAAAATAGCTAAATTATTTAAATATACATAACAAATATTTATAAAAACGCACCAATTCCAACTCGATCCAAATCTATATTTTCACGAATTTTTAAGCTATTAATGATGGTATGGTAAAATCCAGTTCCCAAGTCTAGGTAGCGGCATAATTCAAGATAAATGGCTTGATATTCGTCAGAGTTCTCACTCTTATCGAACTGTTTGATAAAGGAAAATTCAATAAAGTCAAAAATTATTTATATAACAATAATTTTATATACCCGGCGCAATTTTTGTCTTAATTCCTCAATATAATTATAAAAGACGTATCTCCAAAGTCTTTCTTCGATATTATGTTCGTTGGCGAACTTGAGATCGCTTAAAAGAATGTCTTCATAAACGTCCTTGAGGCTGTATAACAGTAACATAGAAGAGATGATCAATAATATTAATAGAATTTAAATACAGAATTAACATACGACGAACTAATAATTTTACCTGTTCCGTAAAAATTCAGTCTCTTCGACTAATTCAGCTGATTTTTCGGGGCTATCTGTTTTTCTTTTTTCCAGTTCCTGCTTCTTTAGTTCTCTTTCGAGATCAGAAGCCTCACTAATGGTAATGTAACATTAAGGCAAAATAATATAAAAAAAAGACATAGATAGTATTATATTTTTCTATAATAATACACACGAGATTAGTTCTTTCAGCCTTTTCCTGTCTTCGATAACATTTGTTGACATTGTATAGAATAATTAATCCATTATGCGTTTGTAACGATCTATTTTTTTGTTTGCAACGTTTTTTTTTTTTTTTTTAGCGAAAGAAGATGGGATTTTAAAAAAGACGTGGTTAATCGATAGTTTTGACAAATATCAACACTCTTTGTAGTCACGATATTAAAATGGCACTGTTATATAACGTGTTTGTAAAGTGTTATATGGCTGGCATATACGTACGCAAGCTTTCTTATGTCTGTATACAGGTCTGGAAAAAAATCAAATGTATATTATTATTTCGTTCTCTGTAAATTGCGGAAAGTACTCGAATTTAATTAACAATTTTCTTTCTCCGTTAACCGGTTAACCAAGTACTCATTGATTGTCAACGTGATGTGCAATTTCGTCCAATCAGAACTGCCATTTCGATGATTGGACAAAATCTTTAATGCTTCAATTTTAATAAAATAAACTAGCCACACATGCAACTTTTGGTTGCCTTATTACACTATAGGTTCTACACTAGCTGCCATACCTACAACCCGACTAGGGGGTTATCTATTTAAACCCTCTATAATGCAACCCAACTTGTATTATTAGTACATCTCCGCTACAATTATCAGTTAAAAGAAGTTCTAAATGCTTTTCCTAGAGCCCTTAGGACTAATTTATCCTCGAGGCATCATTGCTAGAGCTTTCCATACCTACAATCTGGCTAACCTAGACTTTTGGTAACTTATGCTAAGTCTAAGGACAAGTACTTTCAAGTCGAAGCTACTATTATTACCTACTATTGTTTTTATAAAGTTCATTCAAATTTTAGTATATATATTACAAACTATTACCAGTATTTAAATTCTATCAGTATTCCAAACTTCCAATTCAGATAGCCCAAAAGAGTTATGATCTGCTCCTGGTTCTTACAGTTAGATTCTTTTTCTCTGGTTCTCTCTTGGCAGTCTGGTTGGTATAGTGTCTACTGAATATCTGACTTTTATTTAGTTTATTGAATTCAGTGTTTGAATCCCTTAGATAATTCTTATATAATACCATCAAAGATCTGTATTATCTTTCTACTCAGGACTTGCCAAGCGGGCTTCTATATGCCTTAATCCTTAGATTTATACAGCTGTTTCACTTGGGTTTTATATAATTTATAAGTTACATTATTGTTCTACAGCCTCCTAATTAGTGATATGAATTCTACCAAATTGGCATGTTTCTTTCAGTATCTACTAGTAGGTAGTAGTTACCGGTAGCTACCGGTAGCTACTACTACCGGTAATTTACTAGTTACATGATTTATTTGACAAATCATATACTTTTTGATATTTATAATTAATTATAAAGGTGTGGCAACTTAGTGAAGTGGTGAAATTGTCGCACTCCTAAGTGGCAAGAACAGAGTTCGAATCCTACCAATGATGAAAATTCGAATTCTTAGTACAGTGTTACGGCAACTGTGAGTGTAAGGACAGATCGACATCTGTAACTAAGTCACACCAGCTTGTACTGGGAGACTGTGGAACAATAGTGTAATATACAAGTTACACAAAATCTGAGTAAAGCAGTTGTGTAAATTTGAGGTCGGCGCACATAGAAGCCCGCTTGGCAAGACCCGAGTAGAGAAGTAGCACAGATCTTTGACGATACTACGTAAAGGAAATTTATTCGAAAACTAGAGAACCGAACAGGACCAAAGTATTTGGTAAGGCACTCCACCAACCAGACCACCAGAGAGTACCAGAGGAAAAAGACCCAACCGTGGGGACCAGGGCAGGTCACAGCTCTTTCGGGCCATCTAGATTGGAAGTTTAGGGCGATGAGTGTACGTCAGATAGTCTGTATAGTGGGTGCTGGGGTCTGGGTGAACTCTATAAGGGCGTAGTAGATAACGATAGCGGCTTCGGC